GAGGGAGCACTCTGTGCCTTCATCCAGGTCATTGATGAATAAATTGAACAGGACTGGACCAAGGACTGACCCCTGGGGGACCCCGCTAGCCACCGGCTTCCAACTAGACTCTGCACTGCTGATCACCGCCCTCTGATCTCTGCCATCCAGCCAGTTCCTAATCCACCTCACTGTGCACTCATCTATCCCACACTTCCGGAGCTTGCCCAGGAGGATGTTGTGAGGGACAGTGTCAAAAGCCTTGGTGAAGTCGAGATAGACGACATCCACCCAGCTGGTCATTCCATCATAGAAGGCTATCAGGTTAGTCAAGCAAGCTTACCCCTTGGTGAATCCATGCTGACTGCTCTTGCGTACCTTCTTATCCTCCACATGTTTGGAGACAACAGCCAGGATGAGTTGCTCCATGACTTTTCCAGGGATGGAGGTGTGGCTGACTAGCCTGTAGTCCTCCTTGGCATTTTTGAAGACTAGTGTGACATTGACTTTCCTCCAATCTTCTGGCACCTCCCCCGTTCTCCAGGACCTTTCGGAGATGGAGAGCAGCTTAGCTATGACATCCGCCAGCTCCTGCAGCACTCTGGGGTGCATCCCATCAGGGCCCATGGATTTGTGGATGTCAAAGTTTTCCTAAGAGCTCTCTGACCCAATCTTCCTCTACCCAGGGCAAGTCTTCCTCTCTCCAGGCACCTTCTCTGGTTTCTAGTGTCTGGGATTCCAGAAGGCTGCCCGTGGTAAACACTGAAGCAAAGAAGGCATTCAGTAACTCTGCTTTTTCACTGTCTTTCGTAAACAGGCCACCCACCCCATTCACCATCAGAAAAGTGAGCGGTTTTGCTCACTTACAATTAGCAGAGAGCTGGCTCTACTCTGGAATTTAATTTTAAATTGTCCCTCCAAATGCTTATCCAGCTCTGCACGAGACCAACACTCGCCTAGACTCATTCTGCTTCCTACACCAAGAGAGAACGGGATGAAGAGTAGGGAAAAAAACAGCTGATGTCAGCAAGAGGGTGAAGTTATTGGACTCTCTCCCTTCCCGCCTGTGACTAATTTCCTCATGTCCTCAACTTTCCATTTCCTCAGCTTCCTCCTCCGGAGGAACTGGCCAATAACACCTTTTCTACCCTCATGAAGACACCGTGAGGTTCCGATGACATTTGCACAGTGTTTGCATATTCTAAGGAGGAAAATACAAACATCCAGTATTACAAACCCTAAAGGTCAGTAGAGTCAGTGTGAACACATCATCTCTGTATGGTTCACCACTTGAAAAAGCAGAAGCTAAAGTTTTCTGAGCTCTAGCGCCTGGAAGACAAACCCATTCATACTGAACTTCCTAAACTTGAAGCTTCATTCGCGAAGGTGCTTTCCACTGCAAAAGGACAGTATGTTTAAAACAAAGGTTTGAAAACTCTGGGCATTAAACAAGAGACATCTTGATGATGATGCCCTGTCAATCTGAGTTCTGAAAGAAATGCTAGACATTCACCCGCATGAGCTAAATTCTCACCTGTACCACAGGTGTCTGACTGACCCTTTGTGGGGAACACAAGTTTTCTCATGTAGCTAAGCAAGTTAGAGACCTTTCCAAGAGCACCTTTGACTCATTTAACACTTTAATGCTTTCTAAAGACAATTCAGAGGGAGACATCTCAGACGGAGACTAGAGAAAGACTCTAATCTCCCAGGGTCCTGTTTAACCCCTAGCTCAGTTACAGGATAATTAACTACGGCTTCTTCTAGGGCAGGCAGGCACAAACGCCAGTGAGCAAACACTACTGATTCCAGGACAGCTGTCTGCTGCAGTGCTCACTGGCAAACACGTAGCAGCGTGGAGCCATCAGCCTTTAAGTGAAGTGACCTTACCCCATTTGCACGCTAGCAGCGCACACGGCATGCTGCTTCTTACGGAAGCTGGAAAGGCCCTGGGAAATGGTTCCTCTGGATTCAATTTAACTAAAGCTGTCAGAAATTACTTAGCACCACAGGACTGCACACAGAAGCCATAATTGTAAATGTCTGTAAACAGCTAGAGTTAAAAAGAATAGTTGTCAGGGGAGCAGAAGAGACCTTCATAGAAGAAAGGAAAAAAAAACCCATCTGGAATTGCTGCTGGAGGGCAGCAGCCTCACCTGAAGCAGCCGGGCCCTTGCAAGCTCGCCGGCACTGCTTTTCTGTGGTCAGCCTGCTTACTCGCACCACGCGGGCTCCTCTCTCTCTCAGGACAGAAATTCTTTTCTCACACA